AGCTGGCATGAAAACGTTTGGTAGCATTCTGTCTTCAGGCTGAGTACATGCGAAAGATAGGAGTGTAGGGTTTAGGTCTTCATCTTCTCCTTTACCCCTCACCCACACAGAGCGCAAACAACTGCGGTTCTGAGATTACGGATTGCAGTTCTTTTGAAAGGGCGAATATGAGCTTCCGTATCAGCTTTTGAAACAGTATGCTTGGCCGGGGTGTTGTGCCACAGCCCGTTCTCAAACCTACTGCGGGAACACCGTCCGACCTCATGCCCCTGCGCTAAGACATGTTTTTTGTTTGAAAGGTTGCAGCAGATGGGATACACGGGATGCTTGATCCTAAACCCTAACTCCTAAATATGTGTCCTACAGTTCGTTTCTTGGATCCTGTACAAAAGAGCAGGCGCACGCGGTCGTTAGAGCTGTTTTGTGGTCATCAATTAAGCACAATCAGAAGGTAGTTCATGGACTTGTTTCAAAGCAGTGTCTTCCCACAAAAATGAGGTCTTGTGTTTTAACACAGGCGAGCCACATCTGAAGATGCCCTAGAACCCGCCTGGCCCCAAAAAAGGTTCAAATAAGCCTTGCATAAGATCCGGAATTAGACCTTCTCAGCCAGAAAACCTGCGGCGCATGGAGGAAATCCTCCATCACGCTATACCTGTAGGAGCCCCAGTATGTTTGGGCTCCTAAGTACCCAAACCTTAGAAGCCCTAAAGCCCCTAAACCTGCTGATTTTTCCATGAGGTGTCACGTATCATTCTAAGCCAAGTATATCGTTGCATGGTACTGATAACATTGATAACCCAATAGAATTTAGGGTTTAGATTTGAAACCATATCATGGCGCTAAGGGGCTCAAGCTTGGGTGCACAAGTGCAATGACAGTTGGGTTATAATACCTTAAACTGTACATTCTCTACCCTATATAACCCTTATAATTGCGTTGCCAGTACCTGACTCCCAAGTACCCAGGTATCGTTACCCTAAGCCCTAAACCCTCATATCCGCTATATACATACTTGGGATCCTTCTAGTTAAAGCCTTAAACCCTAAATCTTAAGCCCAAAGCCTTAAACGCTTAACCCTTGTATACATACTTGGGATCCTCTTAAATCCCGCGCCGAGCCCCCTAAACCTTAAACCCTAAGCCCTACCCGCCCTTGCCGGAGATGCGGGCTTTGCTGCTCTGCACGACGCTGCATACGAAGGCGGGTGCGGTGTGTGGCGGTTCCGCGTTTGGGGCTTAAGGCTTAGAGTCCCACTTCTTAAGTAGATAGAATATGGTTTTGGGTATAGTATACTAAGATCCCCATAAACCCCATGTTCTATCAGAGAGGACTGTTGCGTCGGCTTTCACAGGTCCCCCAAATAATACTAAATTGTTATGCAATATATATATATATTCTTCACAACAGTTCTCACTGTTTTTCTAACTTTATCAGGAGGAAGATGTTCCCTATTCTATCTACTAAGGGAGACTATTTCCAGAGGTCCAGGTCTTGGGTCCCAAATACCATAGTCTGAATGGTTTGGGGGGGCCTAGAATGCCACTGTTTGAGATGCCGGGTAGGGTTTAGGAGCCTCGGGCTCACGGAGTGGGTGACGTAGGAGTTGGGGCTTGTAGGCCTTTGAATTTAGGGTTTAGGATTCAGGATTTAGGGTTTAGGGTTCAGGGCTAGGATGTACGGTTTAGGATATTTTGGGTTCCTTTGGGCTCTAGATCCCCTTAGGATTCATCAGGGGACAAACTGTTTGAGAAACTCCGACTGTTTGCTTGTGAGCCGGTAGCTGCCCAACCTTCGCGTGTTTAGGGTGAAGGGTTTGGAGTTTAGGGTTTAGGGCTTGAACCCAAACCCTAAACCCTAAACCGGGCAGGTCTCCTGGCATCAACCAGCAGATTTTGCTTTGCATTGAACAGTACGTAGAACGATGGCCCCCAGGGTTTAGGGTTTAGGGTATAGGGCTTCAGGGATTTTAGGGGTTTAGGGTCGAAAGACCATTATTGTGCATACTTTGCCGGGTTTAGGTAATTATTTGACGAAGCCCTAGACCCTAAACCCTACATATAAACCCTGCCACCTCTCTCAAGGGATCTAGACTCTTCTAAGCTACTGTCAAGAGTAGCCTTATCAAGGAAGGGTCCCTCTTGTAGTTTAGTATAGTCCCCAATATTCCGTAGCCCTTTACCCTAAACTTTTTTGGAATTCAGGTAGAGCCTCCAGGCCATGTTTTTGTTCTAACATGTTTAGTTAGCAGTACCTCTAATGATAAGGTTTACATACTGTCCCTTGAAAGAGGGTGTAGGGATGTGTAGGGTTTACAGTAGGGGTTTAGGGTTTATATGGGATTTAGGGTGTAGGATTTAGGGGGGAGTTTGGTTACATATATGATTATAGGGTCTTTTTCACAGGGCTTGGGATTGTTCTCCTAAATTAGGCTTAGAAACAGGCCATGAATACAGCATCTGGATGCAGAGCTAATTTGGGGAATAAATGCCAATATTATACCTCAGCAGCCAGCACATGTGGGCAAATTATAACGACCTCACATGACCTCACTTTAAATGACTTTCTATATACCAAAACATGGCCCCGCTTCAAGATCCGAAACTAACACAGCAATGCCATCTACATACCCTGGAGCTCCATGTCTATAAATAATACCTACATTGGGCCCCAATGTCTTTAAATAATACCTACATTGGGCCATTTGGAGCCCTAAACCCTAAACCCTAACCCTGAACCCTCAACCCTAAACCCTTTACCCTAGGGATACTTGTTGCATGCTGTGTCCAAATCACGCAGCTCCTGCAGAGGCCACGCCTCCGTGGTTTCCGCGCTCCTGCTCGCACGTGCGGAGGCGGAAAGATTTAGGGTTTAGGGTT